CTTGTTTGTGCCCTGTTGACATAAATGTTTCCTGGGTTTGCTCTTCGACAATAAATGGAGAAGGAAGGTCACCCAACTCCATTGGGCCACTCCCCTCCTTCCCCTATTGAAGCTCCTCAAAAGGCTACAGTAATATCTTGATACAACAGTTTCTCTTCTTCTTTCCCGCCTCTCTCCTTTCCGGCGCAACTTCCAGAGTGGTGAGAGATGGCAATCTTTTACATTTCCCTCATCTTTCTTACTTCAGAGTTAGCAAACAACAAGTTGAATGGCAACTTGACATTTTCCATCGCCATCTGCCTCACAGGCCACTCTTTCCTTTCCCTCAGCCCACCAAGGCCTCGTATCTGCAGAGAACCCATTGATCACCTTGTGCCCTCTTTTGGGGCAGCCCGTTGAAACTGAAGCACAGTCTGACCACTCACGATAAAGCAGATTTTTCTCTGCCTCTGCCACAAGGTTTCAGAGTAGTGTAGTCCAAGTAGAGGGTGGGGCACCCTTTTCTCGCCGCAAGAAGCCCATTCCTATGGAAGTCTAGCAAAGCAATACGACTCAGCCCAGCACTCTCTGCCCCAGGACTCATGGCTCTGCTGTGCCTTCCATCCTGGGCTCCCTTCTCTCCCGTGACCTTAAGAACTTTGTCTGGTGGCTTTGCTGGAACATTGTCACTGTTTTCACTGTCATGCAGGGAGCCCAGCACTGTGGCCAGGATGGCAGAGACTTCCTTGTCATCATGGAGAAGTGCCAGCAGGGGACTGGGGAAAGCACTCTACCCAGACCTCACCTCCCTTCCTCCTTTCGCCCATGAACAAGATGCAGTGGCCCTAGGGGTTCCACTAGTGTCTGCTTTCCTTTATTATTGCACTGTGTGAGGTTTTTTTGTAAATCCTTGTATTCCTATTTTTTTTAAAGAAAAAAAAAACTTAAGCTGCATTTGTTACTGAAATGATTAATGCACTGATGGGTCCTGAATTCACCTTGAGAAAGACCCAAAGGCCAGTCAGGGGGTGGGGGGAACTCAGCTAAATAGACCTAGTTACTGCCCTGCTAGGCCATGCTGTACTGTGAGCCCCCTCCTCACTCTCTTTCTACCAACCCTAAACCCTGAGGACAGGGGAGGAACCCACAGCTTCCTTCTCCTGCCAGCTGCAGATGGTTTGCCTTGCCTTTCCACCCCCTAATTGTCAACCACAAAAATGAGAAATTCCTCTTCTAGCTCAGCCTTGAGTCCATTGCCAAATTTTCAGCACACCTGCCAGCAACTTGGGGGATAAGCGAAGGTTTCCCTGCAAGAGGGAAAGGCGGCAAAAATGGCATAGCTATCTCCAAAACACATCTGAGTTCATTTCAAAAGTGACCAAGGGAATCTCCGCACAAAAGTGCAGATTGAGGAACTGTGGTGGGTCATTCCCAAGAATCCCCCAAGGGGCATCCCAAATCCCTAAGGAGTAACAGCTGCAAACCTGGTCAGTTCTCAGTGAGAGCCAGCTCACTTATAGCTTTGCTGCTAGAACCTGTTGTGGCTGCATTTCCTGGTGGCCAGTGACAACTGTGTAACCAGAATAGCTGCATGGCGCTGACCCTTTGGCCGGAACTTGGTCTCTTGGCTCCCTCCTTGGCCACCCACCACCTCTCGCACAGCCCCTCTGTTTTTAGACCAATAATAAGAATTAAGGGGGAAGCCCTGGCAGCTATACGTTTTCAACCAGACTCCTTTGCCGGGACCCAGCCCGCCACCCTGCTCGCCTCTGTCAAACCCCGGCCAATGCAGTGAGCACCATGTAGCTCCCTTGATTTTAAAAAAAAAAAAAAAAAAAAAGGAAAAAAAAATACAACACACACACAAAAATAAAAAAAAATCTTCTAATGAATGTATCTTTCTAAAGGACTGACGTTCAATCAAGTATCTGAAAATACTAAAGGTCAAAACCTTGTCAGATGTTAACTTTTTAAGTTTGGTTTGGGATTTTTTTTTTTTTTAATAGAAATCAAGTTGTTTTTGTTTTTAAGGAAAAGCGGGTCATTGCAAAGGGCTGGGTGTAATTTTATGTTTCATTTCCTTCATTTTAAAGCAATACAAGGTTATTGAGCAGATGGTTCTGTGCCGAATCATGAATGCTGGTCAAGTCACACACTCTGGAAACTTGCAACTTTTTGTTTGTTTTGGTTTTCAAATAAATATAAATATGATATATATAGGAACTAATATAGTAATGCACCATGTAACAAAGCCTAGTTCAGTCCATGGCTTTTAATTCTCTTAACACTATAGATAAGGATTGTGTTACAGTTGCTAGTAGCGGCAGGAAGATGTCAGGCTCACTTTCCTCTGATTCCCGCAACGGGGGGAACCTCTAACCATAAAGGAATGGTAGAATAGTCCATTCCTCGGATCAGAGAAAAATGCAGACATGGTGTCACCTGGATTTTTTTCTGCCCATGAATGTTGCCAGTCAGTACCTGTCCTCCTTGTTTCTCTATTTTTGGTTATGAATGTTGGGGTTACCACCTGCATTTAGGGGAAAATTGTGTTCTGTGCTTTCCTGGTATCTTGTTCCGAGGTACTCTAGTTCTGTCTTTCAACCAAGAAAATAGAATTGTGGTGTTTCTTTTATTGAACTTTTAACAGTCTCTTTAGTAAATACAGGTAGTTGAATAATTGTTTCAAGAGCTCAACAGATGACAAGCTTCTTTTCTAGAAATAAGACATTTTTTGACAACTTTATCATGTATAACAGATCTGTTTTTTTTTTTTTTTCCTGGTGTTCATCCAAGCTTTTGGTTAGAAATAAAAAAAAAAAAAAAAAAAAGGAAAATGTGTCTAAAGTCCATCAGTGTTAACTCCCTGTGACAGGGATGAAGGAAAATACTTTAATAGTTCAAAAAATAATAATGCTGAAAGCTCTCTACGAAAGACTGAATGTAAAAGTAAAAAGTGTACATAGTTGTAAAAAAAAGGAGTTTTTAAACATGTTTATTTTCTATGCACTTTTTTTTATTTAAGTGATAGTTTAATTAATAAACATGTCAAGTTTATTGCTGCACATGGTTAAGCTTCCTTTTGGCTTTGGTTGGAGAGGGTGGAGAAAAGGGGGAGGGGCATGGCCTGTGACCTGGTCACAAAGTACCTTTCACAGTCTTAAGGTGGCATCACTAAATCATTCCCTGTCGCCCACCTTCAGGTCCGCTCCACACTGGCTCTCTTGACTGTATTTTCTTCCTTTATTCATCAGTGATGTACGTTCAGGACCTAATTAATTGTGGATATGAGGCAGGGTCAAGAGGACAAAGGAACAGGGTCTTTACCTTCTACATAGCTCCCCTGTTTTATCCAAGGAGGTCAAGTAGTGATTGTATCTATTTTCTCCTCAACTGTGAATATAATAAACAAAGCATTTCAGGGAGAAGCTGGAGAGCACCTTCTCTTAGCTGCACTCCACCTTAAGGCTGAAGCTGGATTTGTTTACTGTTTCTCCTGGGGGCAGAGGCAGTAGAGAAGTAACCAAATAGTCTGCCAAGCCAGGGCCAACCCTCCAGGCCACAGGTTGAGCAAATGCTAAGGGTCAAGGACAGGGAGACACTCCTCATGAAGGGGTGGTCCTCATCCTTTCAGATCAACTTCCTGCTGGAGGCTCCACCCTCACCACGTCCCTCCCTCTTCTCTCATCCGGAGTCACCTTTTGGGATTTTGGAGTTGGGCACCATGGGGACTCCAAATGATCGGGCAGTGCTGCAGGCCATCTTCAACCCTGACACCCCATTTGGAGACATTGTTGGACTGGACCTCGGAGAGGAAGCAGAAAAGGAAGAACGAAAAGAAGGTGGGCATTTGATCTGAAGTGTAGCTTTGCACATAGGCTGGCCTGCTGGCCTCCCGAGGTGGCAGAGGTAGTGGTCTTATAAGGCCCCTTGTTCCATGATTATGATTGAGATTGGAATCAGAGAGGTTGGCTGCTCCTTAGTGCACTGATGGGGGTTTGGTAAGAGACGTCCTGCCAAGAGGAGTAAGCCGGGGTTTGTCTCTCAATCCATCAGCTCTCAGGCCTCTGAACTTACACTTAATTGATTGACTGATCCAAACCTAACTGCCAGGTGATGTTAAACTCTCATATTTTTGTCATAACAGAGAATACCACCACCAGAACGGAAGACTGAAGTAAGGCAGGGCATGGTTGCTCAGTTGAGTGGTTCCAATATAGCAAGCACAACTAGTATCCGTTAAACACTGTCACAAGCCAAGCTCCAAGCTAACTCTTCTGCAGTGAGTGTGTTCACTGGCTTTTCCATTAGTCCCTAATGAAGAAGTTTTTGATATCCTTTGTTTCTGAGGATTAAAGCCTACACCTTACTAACTCAGGCCGAAATGCTAAGGGATACATAAGAAGTGATGTTCATGATCTGGGAATGTCATGGTGGCCTTTGCATAAAAGGCAGTGTAGTAGAGTAAAATGCAGACAGGAGCCAGAATGACCTGGGTTCAAATCCAAGCTCTGCAATGTATGGCCTGTGTGACCTGGAGCAAGTGCTTTAACAGATTGAGGAGTTTGGGCTTCATTCTCTTGGCAGTGGGGAACCAACCAAAGCCCCTTTCCAGGTCCCTTGGAACTCAGGCAATGCTAACTCCCAGCCTTAGTGACCTCATCTCCCCCTACCCCAAACACTGCAGCTGACCCCTGCTGTGACCCATTCCCAGTCAGCTCTGTCTCAGATCTCAGAATTCCAAAGCCTGAGGTGGCTTTTTCTTCTTGCTACCAACTGCACACCTGGCCCCTCCTGGCTCCTTCCCTGGCCCAGATGAAGTTTTCCCTCAAGCACAGCTGGAACAGTCCAAGGCCCTGGAGCTGCAGGGGGTGATGGCAGCAGAGGCTGGGGACCTCAGCACAGCCCTGGAGAGGTTTGGCCAAGCCATCTGCCTGCTGCCTGAGAGGGCTTCAGCCTACAACAACCGTGCCCAGGCCCGGCGACTCCAAGGAGATGTGGCAGGTAAGGGGAGAGAGGGCACAGACCAGAAATGAAGTGGCTGTGGGGCTGGGGTGGCCTTGCTAAACCCCTCTGGAGCCTGTCTTCTTACCTATAAGGTAGGAGATGTATTGGGGCCCTGCTAATATCATGGGGCTAATGTGAAATTCAGAAAAGACTGCATTCCATTAAGGAACAGTTAATGAGAGCCTACAATGTGGCAGTAGGTTGGTGCTGAGGACACTGAGATAAAGGGTATATGAATCGCCAACATTCATATAGCAGTCACTATGTACCAGGCATTAATCACTTTACATATAAACTAGTAAATCAATCCTCACAACAACCCTAAAAAGTAGGTACCATTGTCATCCCCAGTTTATAGATGAAGAAACTGAAGCATGGAGAGGCTAAGTAACTTGCCCACTATCATACAGTCAGGTAGCAGCAGAGCTGAGATGTGAACCAGGTGGTAGGGCTCCAGAGTGTGTGCTCTTAATCGCCACATGATACTGCTCCTCAGAACGCTCCCACTCCAGGGGGCAGAACAGACACATAATTCTGAGACCAGCAAAACAAGTTTGAGAAGGGTCAGCGTGGGACCTGTTCCTGAAGGGCGAGTTTTAAAGGATGAGTTAGTTGGTGAGTGGAGAAGGTAGTCTGTAGAGGTCCAAAAAGCAGGCACAAGTACAGAGAGCTTCAGGTCTTCAGGCTGGGTGGAGCAGGGAGTGGAGGAGGGATGGAGAGCTGAGCCTGGAGCCGTGGGCAAGGGCCTGATGAACAGCTTGGGAGTATTAGGCTGAGACTGTACTGTCTTGAAAACATGGGGGATCACTCAAGGATTTTAACAGGAGAGTGACTGGATCAAACTCCTGCTGCATTCAGGTTATTCTAATTAAGTGGAGACAATGGGACCACACTGGGGACCAAAGATGAGGCTAATGTGAAGGTATAAACCACGGAAACCTAGTACTACTTGACTGTTAGGAGCAGTGGTGACGCAGGTGCTCCCAGAACCAGCAATGCCAGGCTAGGGAGTTTTGAGCCCACTCCAAGAACAATGGGAACCTCCCAAGGGCCCCTTTCCAGGGTTATCTGCCCCAGATCGCTGGAGACAGCCTGCAGACGAAAACCCCAGGGAGATGCAGAGGTGCTTCCAACTAGAGATTCCTCCAGACCAGCTCCTCTGAGGGAAACCAAGGAGTACTGCAATCTGAGCGCTTCTCCGGAGGCTCGGGCTCTTTAGGAGACTAGAGAACATGAGTGAATTGAAGCAGAGTCCGAAAGAAGCCAGCCTGATGGACTTAAGAAGGTGGCTGGCTGCCTGAGGTTCTGAGTTCAGAGTTCTGAGGCCCAACCCAAGTATTTTACAAGAATAATAAAAATAAAAACGATGCAGGCCAGCTCTGGCTCCAGGACCAAGGAAATTAGATACATGGAGATAACCAAAGAATAACGAAAGGCAACCAGTCCAGGATATAGGGGAGAGAGAATGTGTTCTAAAGCAAGCAATGGAAAAGAGAAAAGGGCCCTCAAAAGGAAAACAATGAGAAACTGTCTTGATTGTACTTGTAAGAAATGACTGTGCAGTTAATACTATTTTTTTGAACCCTGACATTCAGAGTCAGTCACCTGGCCCACAGTGGATGCTTAATAACAGGTGTGGAATAAATTGGCTGCTACTTGCCCGGGCAGTGGGCCAGACTCATAAACATAGTGACCATTCAGAATCCCGCAACGTTCATGTTTTCGTATATTAGCGGTGGAAAATAATAGGAACAAGGCGAGACCTGGACTTCAGTCCCAGCTCTGCCACTAAGTGGCTTGGCTGTACAGCCCTGGGCCAGTCCTCTCAACTCTTCCACAGGCTTCGTCTGTGTAATGGGGATAACGATCCCTACCTCTAGCAGGTGCGAGGCGGGTTGTAAATGGCCACGCCCGGGAGCCGCGAGGACCACGGTGATCCGCGCGGCAGCAGGCGGGCTGGGGCTCCGGCAAGGCCGCCCCGGCGGCCGCTGACCCCCGCCCCGCCCGTCTCGTCGGTCCCGCAGGCGCCCTGGAGGACCTGGAACGCGCGGTGGAGCTGAGCGGCGGCCGGGGCCGCGCCGCCCGCCAGAGCTTTGTGCAGCGCGGACTCCTGGCGCGGCTGCAGGGCCGAGACGACGACGCCCGCAGGGATTTCGAGAGGGCGGCACGGCTGGGCAGCCCCTTCGCGCGGCGCCAGCTGGTGCTGCTCAACCCCTACGCCGCGCTGTGCAACCGCATGCTGGCCGACATGATGGGGCAGCTGCGCCGCCCCCGCGACAGCCGCTGAGCGCTGCTGGCCCGCGCGTCCGTGGGCGAGGGGACGGGAGGGGGCCCTGAACCAATAAAGCCGTCGGGCCTAACCAACTCCGCCTGCTCCTGCGTCCTGCCCGCGCCCGGAGGGAAGGGCACGCGGGGGCACTCTGTGCGTGGGGCCTCTCGGCGCGGGCTAGGGACCAGCCAGGCGGGTGGTGAGCCGCGACCGCCCACCTGCCGGGGGAGGGCCTGTGGGGCCAGTGTTCGGGCATCGATTGGCCCTGCCTGGCTCAGCCCCCGCCCTTGCAGCGGACTGCGGTGCTCATTAGACCTGAGCAGTTGCTCCGGCAGCGGTCGGGGAAGGAGCCAGGTGAGCCGCCGCGGTGGCGGGGGGCGGGGGCAGGATGCTCGGCGACCCCACCCTCCAACCCCCTCCTCTTCCGCCCACATCCGCCGGAGCCACCAACACCAGGAAAGGGGGCGTAGGGCGAGGGATGGGAGAGGGAACAGGGCAGGAGAGAGGATGGGATCGGGAGAAAGGCGATTCCTTTGGGGGAGGGGCGCGTGGAGACGGAGTATGAGTGTGTGTGAGTGTGCGTGTGTGCAAGGTGTGGTTGCACGGATGCTGGTTGCTTCTGCGTATCTGCGGGCGTGTGTCTGTTTGTGTTGTAGCCTGGAGTCAGTGCTCGGTTCTGCACCTGCAGGATGTCCAGGTGTCTGCTGGGTGGGTCTGTACCTTTGGGCTTTGCCCTTCGTGTCCGTGCCTTCGCCACTGGGGGCTGGTCTATATTTGTGTCTCTGTACATGGTTCTTTTTGTTTCTGGAGAGTAAATTCCTGGAGCAATTGCTAGACCTACCTGCTGTCACCTGGCTGACACGGAGGCCCGCCCCCTTCTCTCAGCAGCCTGGGGCCCAGGCCCGGGCCACCATGGCGCTGCCTCCAGGCCCAGCCACCCTCCGGCACACACTGCTGCTCCTGCCAGCCCTTCTGAGCTCAGGTACACCCCTGTTCAGTCGTTGACCAAGTCCTTCTGGGGTCCAAAGCCCCCTCTCTCCTCTGTCTGCTCTTCTGTTTGGGTACTTACTCCAGGCCCGAAACCCTGGAGCCCCTGTTCCCTTCACCCACCTACCTAGGTCCAACCAGCCAGTCCCTGGTGAGAGGACTCAGGCGCCCTTTCCCTTGGCCTGCTGCTCCTCTCACTGGGGCAATTCCTGGTCACAGCACAGTACCAACCCTGCCTGACCCCTTCCCAGAGGCCCCCTGCTGTGTTCCAGGTTGGGGGGAGTTGGCGCCACAAATAGATGGTCAGACCTGGGCTGAGCGGGCGCTTCGGGAGAATGAACGCCACGCCTTCACCTGCCGGGTGGCAGGGGGGCCTGGCACCCCCAGATTGGCCTGGTATCTGGACGGACAGCTGCAGGAGGCCAGCACCTCAAGACTGCTGAGCGTGGGAGGGGAGGCCTTCTCTGGAGGCACCAGCACCTTCACTGTCACTGCCCACCGGGCCCAGCATGAGCTCAACTGCTCCCTGCAGGACCCCAGCAGTGGCCGATCAGCCAACGCCTCTGTCATCCTCAATGTGCAATGTGAGTGACCCTGAGGTGGGCAGGGAGAGAGGTTCTCTGCCCAGGGACCCCCCAGCACCCACCAGGCAGGTGGTCCACAGGGCATTTAGCAGACACTTAAGCACTTTGCAAATATGAACTCATTTTATCCTCTGAATAATCCCATGAGGTCATTACTATTTTTGTCACCATTTTACAAATAAGAAAACTGAGGCAGAAAGAGGTTAAGCAATCCGCCCAGGGTGATGATCCCGCTGGTAAGAAGCAGAGCCAGGATTCATATCTGGGCATTTGGCTCTAGTATTTACACTCATAATCACTACGAAATGCTGCCTGTCTGGCAGACCCAGCCATCCTGTTCCTCAGCATGCCCTCTGAGGAAAGGCCCAGGCCCCTGGCTCCCATCTGGGTTTGGGAAGAAAGGGCCAGAAGTATAAGGGGCTGTGGTGAGAGCATATTGGCCTCTGCTTTGCACCAGTCAAGCCAGAGATTGCCCAAGTCGGCGCCAAGTACCAGGAAGCTCAGGGCCCAGGCCTCCTGGTTGTCCTGTTTGCCCTTGTGCGTGCCAACCCGCCTGCCAATGTCACCTGGATCGACCAGGATGGGCCAGTGACTGTCAACACCTCTGACTTCCTGGTGCTGGATGCGCAGAACTACCCCTGGCTCACCAATCATACAGTACAGCTGCAGCTCCGCAGCCTGGCGCACAACCTCTCGGTGGTGGCCACCAATGATGTGGGTGTCACCAGTGCCTCACTTCCAGCCCCAGGTGAGCATGGCCAGCAACTGGCCCAGCAAAGCCTCAGGTGGGTGCAGGGGTCCACATCCCCATACAGAAATGGGAGTACTTTTTTCCCTGTGAGTTGGTCTTGTGGATGAACTGTTCCCAGCCACCGTGGGCAAGGAGGGCAGAGCAGTACCTATGGCGTGTTGGGGTTGGGGCACTGCCCACTTGGGACCTAACCAGAGGACATCCTCCAGGGCTTCTGGCTACCCGGGTGGAAGTACCACTGCTGGGCATTGTTGTGGCTGCTGGGCTTGCCCTGGGCACCCTCGTGGGGTTCAGCACCTTGGTGGCCTGCCTGGTCTGTAGGAAAGAGAAGAAAACCAAAGGTAGGCCAGGGACACTGGGGGCAGTGGGGATGAGGTCAGGCTGAGCAGCAGCCAGGACAGCAAGTGCAGCTGGGCAGAACCAGTCGTCTCTGACGGTGGCAGAGCACTTCCAGGGTGTGGCCATGGGTAGGGTGACATGCATCCCAGGTAGCAGGGTCAGGCACTGGGAACCCAGTCTCTGGCCCCAGGGCCAAGCCTGGACATTTGAGAGACCCCTTGCCTGAGGGTCCTGGCTCTGAAGGGGTAGAAAGAGAGCCCAGCGTGGGAGGGCATGTTGAGAATTAGGGACATGGTTTCATTCTCCGCAGGCCCCTCCCGGCGCCCATCTCTTATATCAAGGTAATTCTTCCTGGGGCTGGGTGGACAAGCCTAACCGAAATGCAGGATGGGGACAGGAGGGAGCCTGGGGTTTCTGGTAGAGGCAGCCATGAGTGCCTGTGCTGGGACGCATATCCATCCTGACCTTTATCCTCCCTGTAGTGACTCCAACAACCTAAAACTCAACAACGTGCGCCTGCCACGGGAGAACATGTCCCTCCCGTCCAACCTTCAGCTCAATGACCTCACTCCAGATTCCAGAGGTATATCTAGGGCCCTGCTCTTTGCCTCTGCTTGATCTCCAGAAGTGCTTCTGAGAAAAAGAGAGCTTGGTGCTTGGGAGGGGCGAGGCCCCACCAGGCACACTCCTGTTCCTGAACACTGCCCTCTTTGTCAACCAGCAGTGAAACCAGCAGACCGGCAGATGGCTCAGAACAACAGCCGGCCAGAGCTTCTGGACCCGGAGCCCGGCGGCCTCCTCACCAGCCGAGGTACTGGGGAAGGGGCCTGCCTCCCTCCTCCTCTGCCCCCCAGCCCTGTGCTTATGCCAAAGGCCTCCAAGTGCCCAGGAGGCAGAGAGGGCTCTCCCAGATTCCAAGGAACAAGCGTTACTGAGTCCCTGCGGGCTTCTTTGATCCTGCAGGTTTCATCCGCCTCCCAATGCTGGGCTATATCTATCGAGTGTCCAGCGTGAGCAGTGATGAGATCTGGCTTTGAGCCGAGGGCGAGACAGGAGTATTCTCTTGGCCTCTGGGCACCCTCCCATTCCTCCAAGGCATCCTCTGCCTAGCTGTGTCACCAACGTGAAGAGGTCATGCCACTGCCACTTTTGCTTGCCCTCCTGGCTGGGGTGCCCTCTATGTCATGCATGTGATGCATTTCACTGGGCTGTAACCCACAGGGGCACAGGTATCTTTGGCAAGGCTACCAATTGGACCTAAGCCCCTCATGCTGACTCAGGGCGGGCCCTGCATGTGATGACTGGGCCCTTCCAGAGGGAGCTCTTTGGCCAGGGGTGTTCAGATGTCATCCAGCATCCAAGTGTGTCATGGCCCGCTGTATGCCCACCCCAGTACTCCACAGCACCTTGTACAGTAGGCATGGGGGCGTGCCTGTGTGGGGGACAGGGAGGGCCCTGCATGGATTTTCCTCCTTCCTATGCTATGTATCCTTGTTCCCTCAGGTAAAATTGAGGACCCTGCTAGCTATGTAGAACCAAATTGCCCTTTGTACAGGAACCAACCCCTGGCCCAGGGGCACTGGCCAAGCACAAGTCTTTTTTGCTGCACACCTCTCTGCTCTTGTCTGCCCCTTCCTTCCCCCGCTCCTCCAGAGAATTCTAGGTTACATGTTGGACCTTCTCTACTACTTCGCTGGGCACTAGACTTTTCTACTGGCCTGTGCCACCGCTCAGTATTAGTACAAGTCAGGGAGGAAGAGGCAGGCGATGAGTCTAGTAGCACCCAGGACGGCTTGTAGCTGTGCATCATCTTATTACAGTGTTAGCACTTTAAGCACATCCCCTAGGGGAGGGGGTGAGTGAGGGGCCCAGAGCCCTCTTTGTGGCTTCCCCACGTTTGGCCTTCTGTGATTCACTGTGAGTGTCCTGAGCTCTCGGGATTGATGGTTTTCCTCTCAGCACGTCTCCTGCACCATGGGACCCCAGCCCTGACCAACCCCTGGTTGCCCCATCAGCAGGAAGGTGCCCTTCCTGGAGGATGGTCGCCACAGGCACATAGTTCAGTGTGGAAGCTTTAGGGGGACATGGAGAAAGGAGGAGACCACATACCCCAAAACAACCTAAGAACGTTTTAAAAGGCGACCTGTAAATGATTGGAAATTAATATGGTACAGAATATATTTTTCCCTTGTTGAGATCTTCTTTTGTAATGTTTTTCATGTTACTGCCTAGGACAGTGCTGAGCACACAGTAAGTTTAATAAACTTGACTGAATTAATTTACATACCTCTGCTTCATTTCTTCTATTAATATATTTTTGGTTTTGTTTTATTTTGTTTTGTTTGAGATGGAGCCTCACTGTATCACCCAGGCTGGAGTGCAGGGGTGCGATCTTGGCTCACTACAACCTCCGCCTTCCAGATTCATTTGATTCTCCTGCCTCAGCCTCCCAAGTAGCTGGGACTATAGGCGCCTACCACCATGCCCAGCTAATTTTTATATTTTTAGTAGAGATGGGGTTTCACCATGTTGGCCAGACTGGTCTCGAACTCCCGAACTCAAGTGATCCGCCCACCTTGGCCTCCCAAAGTGCTGGGAGTACAGGTGTGAGCCAGTGCAGCCAGCCTTCTTCTAATATGTTTTTTAAATGAAGTTTTCCAGTCTCACAGTGGAAAAAATATGGCAAGCACCTGTATATCCACCACTCAGCTCTGACATTACCAAATTTGCTTTAGAAAAATGAATAATATTTCTTTAATTACACTGTTCCCAGTGGCAGGATTGGCATCTTCTATTTCAGGAGTGCTGAGTTGGGGGCTCTTGGCTATAACCAGCATCTCATTCTCACTTGGTCCATACGACTCAGCTGCTTCTTCCCACCTCAGGACTGGGCTAAAGTATGCTGAGCCCCTTTGTCCTGCCCATGCGAACAGAAGGCTCAGACTGGGCTATGATTTTGTTTGGTACAAAGTTATGAGGTTCACTGAAATTTTGTTACGTATATATGTATGTATGTGTATATACAGAGAGAGAGCTCGAGAGAGCACGCGTGTGTGTGTCTTGCTCTGTCACTCAGGCTGGAGTGCAGTGGTGCAGTCATAGCTCACTGCAGCCTTGAACTCCTGTATTTAAGGGATCCTCCCACCTCAGCCTCATGAGTAGTTGGAACTGCAGGTGTGTGCCATTGTGCTCAGCTAATTAAAAAATATCTGGGGGTACTGGACACGGTGGCTTACGCCTGTAATCCTAGCACTTTGGGAGGCCGAGGCGGGTGGATTGCCTGAGCGCAGGAGTTTGAGACCAGCCTGGGCAACACAGTGAAACTCCATCTCTACTAAAATACAAAAAAATTAGCCGGGCATGGCGGCATGCGCCTGTGGTCCCAGCTACTCGGGAGACTGAGGCAGAAGAATTGCTGGAACCCAGGAGGCAGAGATAGCAGTGAGCCGAGATCACGCCAATGCACTACAACCTGGGTGACAGAGCAAGACTCCGTCCTTAAAAAAAAGAAAAAAATGTGTAGAGACAGGGTCTCACTCTATTGCCCAGGCTGGTGTGACGTGTATAATATGTAGTGATCAGGTTAGGATATTCAAGGTGTCCATTACCCAAGTACAATACACTTTTGTTAACTATACTCACCCCACTCTGCTATCAAGCATTGAATTTATTCCTACTAACTATATGTTTGTACCCTTTAACTCACTTCTTTTCTTTATCCCACATTTTCTTTACCCATTCATCAATTGATGGTCACTTAGGTTGATTCTGCATATTTGCTATTGTGAATTGTGCAGCAATACACATGCAGGTGCAGGTGTCTCTTTGATATTTTGATTTCCTTTTTGGAGATACCCGGAAGTAGGATTGCTGGATTGAATGGTAATTCTATTTTTAGTTTTTTGAGAAATCACAGGCCGGGTGTGGTGACTCGTACCTGTAATCCTAGCACTTTGGGAGGCTGAGGCAGGTGGATCGCTTGAACCCAGGAGTTCAAGACCAGCCTGGGCAACATGGTGAGACTCCCATCTCTACAAAAACACAAAAATTAGCCGGGCGTGGTGGCGTGTACCTGTAGTGCCAGCTACTTGGGAGGCTGAGGCAAGAGGATCACTTGAGCCCAGGAGGCGGAAGCTGCAGTGACTGAGATCACCCCACTGCACTCCAGCCTGAGCCACAGAGTGAGACCCTGTCTCCAAAGAAAAGAGAGAATCCCCATACGGTTTTCCATAGTGGTTGTACTAGTTTACATTCCCACCAATATAAGAGTATAAGAGTTCCCTTTTCTCCTCATCCTCATCAATATCTGTAATTATTTGTCTTTTTTTTTTTTTTTTTTTTGAGATAGAGTCTCTGTCACTCAGGCTGGAGTGCAGGGGTGCGATCTCAGCTCACTGCAACCTCCACCTCCCAGGTTCAAGCGATTCTTCTGCCTCAGCCTGCCCGGTAGCTGGGACTACAGGCATGTACCACCACGCCTGGCTAATTTTTATATTTTTAGTAGAGACGGAGTTTCACCATATTGGCCAGGCTGGTCTTGAACTCCTGACCTCATGATCTGCCCACCTCGGCCTCCCAAAGTTCTGGGATTACAGGTGTGAGCCACCATGCCCAGCTTTGTCTTCTTAATCATAGCCATTCTGATTGGGGTAAGCTCATTGTGGTTTTGATTTGCATTTCTCTGATGATTAGTGATGCTGAGCATTTTCTCATATACCTGTTAGCCATTTGTATGTCTTTTTTTTTTTTTTTTTTTAGTTAGCTATTTAATGAGGTTCTTAAGACATTTAGAACACCAATTTGTGAGGATAAATTCCATTCGTCAGGGCAAACACAGATCCAGGTAGCCCTGGAGCTGAGGAACAGCTTTGATTTTTGGTAGAATTTGTGAGTCCACAGCTTTCTGATCAATCTTGTGCTGCTCTGTAATCTCGTATTTCTCTTTTTCTGTGTCGAAGATCTCACCTTCCTGGTGTCTGGGCTTCCGCAGCTGCTGCTGCTTGAAGTAAGCATCAGTAAGATGTTTTGGGATTTTGACATTGCTGATATCGATTTTGGTTGAGGTGGCAATGACAAATTTCTGGTGTGTTCTTCGTAGAGGAACTCGATTGAGGACCAGAGGTCCAGTAACAAGTAACAAGCCACTAGCCAGCTGCTTCAGGAAAACCACCCTCTTGCCCCTGTGGCGTCCAGTGAGGATGATCAGAACGGTCCCGGGGGGAATGCTGGCTCGCAGTTTTCTCACGTGCTGACTGAAGGGTTTTTTTGCCGTGGCTCAACAGCTTTCGAGGCACATCTTCAGTAGGATAATATCTAGGCATTTAGCGAAGTTTAACCACCCGGGTACTGCCGTTCTTGTCACCACCAACTGGTTTTGTGAGAGTTGCAAGAACCTTCTCCTCCTTTTTCATTTCAAGCTTGGATTTAGCGGCTGAGTACTTCCTCTTGTACATGGCCTTTCTGGAATACATGGCAGATCGGGAATACCTGCCAATTCCTCTGACAAAGACAGGGTTGCGGCTGCAATGGGGCTTCCCCTTCTTGGGCTTCTTAGCCTTGAGGTTACCCTTTTTCACCTTGCCACCAGCATCAGCCTTCTTGGCTTCGGGTTTCTTCTCTTTAGTATCTGGCTTCTCAACTTTTTCACCCGCCATCTTGCAAGATGGGAAAGAGCCATTTGTATGTCTTCTGTTGAGAAATGTTGGCCAGCCGTAGTGGTTCGCGCCTGTAATCCCAGCACTTTGGGAGGCTGAGGCGGGCGGATCACGAGAACCTGGGAGGTGGAGGTTGCAGTGAGCTGAGGTTGCGCCACTGCATTCCAACCTGGGTGACAAGAGCAAAACTCTGTCTCAAAAAAAAAAAATAAAGCATCCATGTTATCGCACGTGTCAGAATTTTGTTCATTTTTAAGGCTGAATAGCGTTCCATTCCTTACATATACACATTTTGTTTATCTGTTTATCTCTCAATGGACATTTGGGTTGTTTCTGCCTTTCGACTATTGTAAACAAGATTACAGGTGTGCGCTGCCTTGGCCGCCCGGAGTGCTGGGATTACAGACCTGAGCCACCACGCCCGGCCGGAAAGACTTTTTATTCCGGCTTCCATGTTGTTCCTTGTTATTGGCCTGTTCAGCTTTTGGATTTCTTTATGGTTGAATCTTGGTAGGGTGTATGTGTCTAGGAATGTATCCATTTCTTCTAGATTTTCCAATTTCTTGGCATATAATTGCTCATAGTAGCCACTAAAGGTCCTTTGAATTTCTGAAGTATTGTAATGTCATGTCTCCTTTTTCTTTCTTTTTGAGATGGAGTTTTGTTCTTGTTGCCCAGGCTGGAGTGCAGTGGCAACCTCTGCCTCCTGGGTTCACGGGATTCTCCTGCCTCAGCCTTCCGAGTAGCTGGGATTATAGGTGCCCACCACCACGCCTGGCTAATTTTTGTATTTTTAGTAGAGATGGGGTTTCACCACGTTGGCCAGGCTGGTCTCAAATTCCTGACCTCAGGTGATCTGGCCTCCTCAGGCTCCCAAAGTGCTGGGATTACAGGCGTGAGCCACCGCGCCCAGCCATAATGTCTCCTTTTTCATCTCTGATTTTATCTGAGTCTTCTCCCTTTTCTTAGTCTGGCTAAAGTTTTGCCAATTTTAACTTAAAAAAATAAAATAAAAATAAAAAAATAAAAACAGGCCGGGCACGGTGGCTCACACCTGTAATCCCAGCACTTTGGGAGGCCACGGTGGGCAGATCACCTGAGGTCAGGAGTTCGAGACCAGCCTGGCCAACATGGTGAAACCCCATCTCTACTAAAAATACAAAAAAATTAGCTGGGCATGGTGTTGGGCACCTGTAATCTCAGCTACTTGGGAGGCTGAGGCAGGAAAATCACTTGAGCCCAGGAGGCGGAGGTTGGAGTGATCCGAGATTGCGCCATTGCACTCCAGCCTGGGTGACAAAAGTGAGATTCCGTCTCAAAAAAAGACAACATCCAGAAAACCCCAACTTTTTGTTTCATCGATCTTTTGTATTATTTTATTCATTTCAATTTTATTTATTTCTGCTGTGATCTTTATTATTTCTTTTCTCCTACTAAAACTGGGTCTGGCTTGCTGTTGCTTTTCTAGTTTTTTTTTTTTTTTCAGTAGAGACGGGGTTTCACTGTGTTAGCCAGGATGGTCTCGATCTCCTGACCTCGTGATCCGCCCGTCTCGGCCTCCCAAAGTGCTGGGATTACAGGCTTGAGCCACCGCGCCCGGCCGCTTTTCTAGTTCTTTAAGATGCATTGT